CAAGTCTTGCTCCTTTTACACTCTTGTATTCTGACCTGAGCTCAGTCTGTCTCAAGCTCACTAGAGTATTTAAGTACCACATAGCATTTTCTTAGCTGATGGAAGCGTACAGGCCATATAGAGAGTGGTGAAACCCTTACTGGCTGGATCCGTTCTCTGCAGGAACTGTAGCCTCAAGGATTCATCTGACAGAGCAAAACTGATTAATTCGGGGGCTGCATTGGTTCAGGCAGAAAATGCTGCCTGTTGTAATAAACCAACACTGATTGTTTGTAACCTAGTTTCCAGTCAACCAATAATCATTGCATAGGCATGTAAGTACTGTCTCCTATTAAGCCTTCATGATGTGCTCTTTGAGGACTTTGTAAACAGTTGATTTTTATGTTTCTTTAGTGAGTTTTATGATCAAAATACACCATCTGCCATATGTGCAAGGAGGTAGATGATCTTTCACTGTTACATGCACACAACTGCTGAAAACCTTGTTCGTTACAAATCTGAGTGTCACAGCCTAGCTAGTATTCTGCATGGCAGCATTGTTCAGTGAGATGTTTCTGTGAATGAGCTTTCTCTGTATTCAGTGTAATAACTGCCTGGTTTTGTGTTGATGTAGTTAAATATTACTCGAGATGTGAAGTTTGCTGCTGTGCAGTGGTGACTGTCTGGAGGTAGCTTGTGTTCTTGTGTCAATACTGCTTCTGTACTTGAGACCTATAGCAGAACCTCTGAAGCTAATGTCAATGTTGCTATGAAAAGAGGTGTCATATACCTGTGGGACCTTAGCATGCACACACAGTTCCACTGAAGACAGTATTTGAGCCCTTAATTCAAGCAAATAATCTTGTTTTTTTATTACTTTTTTTCCTCGTTACAGGGCATCTGATCTTTTGCATGTGTTCATGGAAACAAAGCTTGCTTGGTGAGAGAAGGGTTCAAGTCCTTAACATTCACTTTAATTACTTAGCCCCTCTGCTGTGGTTCAGATGTCTGTGCCTGGCTTTCTTAGTAATTCTTACTAACTGTTCCTGCAAATTGATGTGTGTTAAAAGCACTAACATCAAGCAATACTTATTCTTTAGCTCTCAGATTTGAGAGTGTGTCAGTTACGTGAACTGTGGAATGGATAGCTGTGGGTGAATGCTGGCTAGGAAGAGACTGTTGTACTTCTCATCCCTGGAAATGAGACCATGTGTGTCTCAAGGAGGTCCTGCATTCTCAAGGAAGAGGTAGAAGTGCTTTAGATAGCTGACTGGAAAAGTGTAGAGCTGTATTCAGCTGCATGTTGCCAGCACACATACACTTCTCAAGGAAGTAACCTCCCTGCCTCTACTGGCAACCTTTTGTCTGTTCAAGGATGATTCAACAGTAAAACTTCACTTTATGAGAAGTTTTGGCAAAACAGGGAAAATGTCAACTATGGGAGTTGTCATGCAAAAATTCCATGTTAATAAATGGAGGACCTGTACTGGAAAACTACTCCTGAGTTTCTCGGTGCACTGTTCACTATGCTTCATTTGAGTGTTATCAAAGTAACTAATCCTTGATACTTCAGTAGCACAGTAGTGAGCTAAGGTATGTGAACAACACTAACTTTTTTCAAATTATATAGTGATGGCTTTCAGAAAAATCTCTCCACTGCCCTAGAAACAGTGGGACCAGACTCTTTCAGACATACTAATGTGTATTCAAACTCACTTAACAGGCTTTGGTAGTAGTCTTCCTGACTTGTTTCAAGTTACATCACTCTGTATGACTTACCTGAATTAAGTTGCAGATATAGAGGAGACATCCTTCTAATGTTTGCACACCTGTTTAAACATCTGACTTGTGTAGCGAAGCAAGGCTTGCATAGTTAACAGCTGCTGGTTCAGGAAAAACCCAGTGTAGTGTTTGGTCTTCTGCTTGTGCTCCCCTCCTCCCCCTGCCACAACCTGTCCTGTGAGCTGCAGACCTGGTGTTATTGGAGGTGGGTACCAGGCACTTCTTGGAAGATGTCTCTGTTTTGGGCTGGTCAGAGGGTTAACCTTTGCAGATAGCTATGTTTAGTGACCAAAATTGTGCTATGAATGAGCTGCCTGAATTTTCTACCTGTTCACCTGCAGATTTTAACTTCTGTCGGAGTTTTGATTATCCTGAAGTCATCTGCAGTGCATCTATATATTGGGAGGGAGTGCAAAGTGTTTTTTATTTATAACTATTGTATTTGTCCTTTAAAAAGCAGTTCTTCAGAACCAAATTAATCAAGTACTCCTATCCATCTTAGAGTTTTAGTTAGCTTTTCATAAGAAGTTTTCTTTTTGAATAATAACGTGCACCTTTTTATACTTAGACATGATTATTGTTCCATGTCTACATGGAAATAGCCGAATGCACCCCTTTCTCAGTAAAACTGTTTATTTTCTGTAGGCATCTGTCATGTTACTTAAGCTATGGATGACATGACTTAATATGTATAAAGCTCATTCAGATGAGTTTTATGTGTTAACATGAACACAGTCATTGGAGTAAGAATTTTGTTTGCACCAGTTAGCTGTCAAGTTGGTAAATGGTAGAATGGTGTTTAATAAATGTTTCATCTGGATTGGGACCAGACAAATTCTTGCTTTAATATAGTTGTAGCAGTGTGGTATCCAAGGGAATACTATTTTGATATAAAAATCTGCCAACTCTTGATTTGCAATTAGTATTGCTAGGGGAACTTGCTTGTAGGATAGGTCTAAACTAACTTGATTAACCCATATTTTTAAAGTCACAAGGTACTTCTGAGACATGTATGTTTAATTATATTCTGTGTTATAGGAAGGTTATCCCACGTGGGACCAAGTAAGTGTGGCTTAAAACAAAAATACTTGCAGCTGGAAGAAACTATTAGTGTTTCAAAGAAATGATTTCTCTTCATTTATACAATAAGTGTACTACATTACATGCTGGATGCATGTTTTCATTCAATTGGCTTTGTTGGTGTAATTTATGTTGAAGTATGACCACCTGCAACTTCTGTAAAATATCACACTGAGTATTTTAATACGTGCTTCTGCTGAGCAGTAGTAGCAATAGGAAGTCTATGGACTGTAGTAGTAGAACTGCAGTCATGTTGCCTTTTTTAGAGATCCAGTTAAAGTAATAGCTGATCTGCATTAAACCTAGTAGGGGTTTGCAATTGCTTGAATAAGAAGCTAGGTGAAATTGAAATTGAACTACCATGGTCTTGTAAGATGGGCTCTGCATTGTTTTTTAATTGATGATTTTGTTTAGCTTGCCTCACTGATTCTACTCTAGTGTCCATAATAAAGCTTTATATAACATTGTTCTATGTTGTCCCTTGTCACCATTTGATTCTCGAAGATGCAGCAGTATATTGCTCAATGGGGGTGGGGAAGAAAAGAGGGAGAATAAAACGGTGAAAGCAAATAAATGGTCTTGGAGAATGTAGTTCTCTAACCTTGTACCTACAAAGATAAGAGAACCCCATTGAACTTAATTGCCTGTGGGTCAAGGTTATAGTAAGAGTTTTATGCATAGTAGTCAAATGTGAAAGGCAGATTGTGTAGATAAAGCATTTGATTATACTAATCCTTCGTTATTTGTGAATAGTAATGCCATGGGTTTCAGTTTATCTGGAACACTTATTGGTGGGAGAGAACAAGAAAAGCATTTCAGAGGACCAGCCTTAATGGCAAGGTGCTTGTGACACTTCTAGGAAACTTCAGTAAAACAGCATTTTGGCTGTGTTTGAGGAGTTGTGTTGTTAATATTTTGGGAAACATTTTTTCTCCTTTCTTTAAAGGAGTATCTTAAGATTCTCATGAAATATAAGCCTTCTTAAAAAAACTCAACAACAACAAAAAACCCCCCATGAAGATACCCCAAAACACAAACTCCTGTCACAGGCTGTCTGGCCCTTGTAGAGCTTGCATTTGGTGTCTGGGGGAAGACACCTGAACTACAGCTGCAAGCACTTGGCTCTTAAAGCTCCAACTCACGCTGATGCCCAGTAGTTAACAGTGGGGGAAGGTGCTGTGGTAATTTGGTGGGGGAAAGTAAGGCAGAGTTTTCTTATTACTCTAAAAATATTTTTTTCCTTGTATAATGGAATACTACATGCTACTAGGTAGGCTCAGTCTGTCACACAGCTCAGACAGTGCAAAGGAACTCATGCTGCAGAACCAAGGTCAAGAAGCCATGTAGATGACTGGGTTGTAACTAATGTGTTCAGAGAGCATGGACTTGCATGTGAGAGTCTTAATTTCTTTTAGGTTGTGTTTTTGACTTGACAACATGGGGGTGGCTTATAGAACTAATTTAAAAATGGAATGGTTACATCTTGTCATCTTGGACACTTTTTTCTGAACTTGCACTCATACCCATCATGGGTTTGATGTGAAGAAGGCAAGAAATTACACAGATGATTGAGACTAGTTAGTGCAGTATACTTTTGTTTTAGGGTAGAAAAAACAATAATATAACTACTTTGGGAAACCAGACAGGAAAGGGTGCATTGTTTTTCTGGAGGATTATTCATAACTGAGTATAGAGTGGTTCTGAACTGGGAAATTAGGTATTTTTAAAATAGCACTGCAGAATTTCTTATTTCTCCCATGTTCAGCTCTGCATTGAACAATCATTTAACATCAACCCCAGCACTTAACCCTTATCAAAACATGGATTTAAGTGCTTGATCAAGTGCTTGGAACGGAGGTAAAAGGTTGCCTATTCATAGTGCTGAAGTTTGGATAGTAAATTATCTGGTGATATATCCAATGATAAAGGTACCAGTGATTAAAGTGGGACTGGTAGCCTTCTGGGCTTGTGTGATACCTTTTTTTATTCTGTACAGCTCTTCCTCATAACACAAGCAACTTACTTCCTCCATGTTCTATATTTGTCTTTACTGTGTGATCTTTCTAACAGTGGCTTTTAGAAGAATACTTGAAATTGTTTGGTCATAATCCCTATGTGACTTTTCCAATGAAGTACTAAAATAAAAATCTAACCTGCAGCACAGCCAAGTACAGCGTGGTGACATTTCTACCTCGATTCCTGTATGAGCAGATAAGAAAAGCTGCAAATGCATTCTTCCTCTTCATTGCCTTACTGCAGGTATTGTTTTATTGATTTGTATTGATTATGAAATGAAATTGTAATGTAGTAACAGTTGTTTCCGTTATGTTTAACTGCAAAGAAATCCTTAGATGTATTTTATTAGTAATATTGAGGTATGTACTTCTATAAATGAAATTAGAAGGCAACTTAGACTTTTTCCAATGTAGTTTGTAAAATCAAGCTACACTTAAGTAAAAACAAGTAGTAGTATCATAAAACATGGAGCTATTAACCATATTGAAAAAAGCATTTGTGGATTCTTGTGGAACTGCTCATTGTTTAGATAGTCCACATTATCACTACTTCTAGTTGAATTGCAGCAGTTGAATGCTTTTCTTGCGAAGAGAGGAGAAATAGAACAAAAGGCATGCACAATAACTTTATCTTCTAGCTTTATGGTACCAGTTTCTTCATATCTGATGAGCTAAGGCTAGTTTGCCCACTGAAATTGGATGTCAATCAGGCAGAAATCAGAAAGCTCTGTGTTTTCTTTTCTGAGAGCTTTGCATAAAGTTCTAAATTTGCTGGAAACTAATTTAAATATAAAAATAAAATGGGTATCTCTTCTCCCTCTGTTTACAGCAAATTCCAGATGTCTCTCCAACAGGAAGATATACCACCTTGGTGCCATTGCTATTTATTTTAACAGTTGCTGGCATCAAAGAAATCATAGAAGACTATGTGAGTATGATTATGGGGAGGACTGTGCTAAAGTCAGTGTTTCAGAAAAGCTGCAAAGCTATGCGTCTCTGAAGTCTATTGAGACATTGCTGAACAGCCACAAAATATCCTTTTCACTTTCCAAACTCTGAACTTGACTAGAATTTCTGTAGCCCACTGAAATAAATTAAGCGTTTTCATTAATAGATGGTGAACAAGGAAACAGTAGGAGTCAGTACAGTTGTTTCTACCTCTTCAAACTTGTTTATCCATGCTTTTGTTAGAAAGATCTGGCTAGAAAGACACTGTAGAGTCCTGACAGATACATGGCTTTTAGTTGGTCTTGATAATGTGCAGGGGCAAAGCAAAACAACCTTAGCATAGAGCAAACTGTTTTTGGTAAAATCTGCACTAACTTACTTGGATACTATTTATAATAAAGGTCTTTTTGCTTTGCAAAGTTCTGAATAAAATAATCTAGAAATCAGTCTAAACAAACAGCACATAGCATGTATAGTGCAGCTGTCATCTAATTATATTGTTCCTCATTGTTGTTCTTGTTTTTCCATAAACCAATTTTGGAGACTTCAGGGTGGTTTTTGTTTGTTGTTTTTGTGGTTGATGCAGGCTTGAGGCTGACTTCCAACATGGGGACTCTCATGTTAGGGTTAAGTTACATTCTTTTACAAGCCATTTGGATTTGGGTGATCTGTGTGGCGCGCGCGTGTGTGTGTGTGTAAAAAAACAAACAAGCAAAAAAACCCCCAAAAAAACCAAACCACAAAAAAAACCCCAACAAAACACAAAAAAACCCCACCACCAAAAAACCCCACATCCACAAAAAAAAGCCGAAAACAAAAACCAACCTAGAAAACCCCAAACAAACAAAAAAAAACCCTCCACAGAACTTAAAGGCAAAAATGACCTAGTGTATCATCTTGCATTTTGTCATGTTTCTAGCTCTAATGGCTTTGGAATCTGTATTGAAGTTTAATGTTTTGTTTCCTTTGCAGAAAAGGCATAAGGCAGACAGTGCAGTAAATAAAAAGAAAACAATAGGTAAGACTAAATAGTCTAAGTTACAATATTTTGAGTGCAAATAGTGAATATAAGAACACTTACTCTTGAACAATTATGTTGCTTATAGTCATGATGGTGGGGAATGCATGTCTCTTTGGACTAGGTAGTTACTGGTGCATTAAGATTTTACTTTACCAAATGTTTCAGACTGATGCTGATAGTGTGATACTTGGGGACGAGGCACAGTGGGGATTATTAGAATTTGTAAGTTCATGTAATTCCAAGGTTGTCTATAGTTACACAGTTTTTGGCTCATCCAAGAAGACCAAGCAATTTTTTCCCCTGCTAAACTCTATCCTGATTATTCTTTAAAAAACAAAACCAAACCAAACAACAAACAGCCACTACAACACACACCCCTCCCCCTGAAAAACCAAACCTAACAAACTCTTGAGACACAAAGTTGGTGTCAAAGGAATTTTAAGTCATTTTTGTAAATGCTGCGGCACTTAATATATAGGAAGAGCTCTGGGCATTTTGTGGATTTGTTTTCCCAAAGTGAAGGAATTTCCTTAAAGAGAATTTAACACTATCCTCTGAATGCCTACATGTATCCCTAATGTATTGACGCTACTTGTCACTGAATACCTGAAGACAATTTTAGTTTTCTTCATCTCCCTTAACTGAAAACCTGTGCAGAAAATACGAGTTTATTGATGGCAACCCTATTGTCAGTCTGTGCTGCAGTCACAGGATCTCCATGTTCCTGTGTTAGACAGCTCCTTCCCTGCTCTTCCATGGAGACCTGCAGATGAAACTGAAAACACAGGGACTTGACCTTTGAGTAGAGTCCCTTCCTCCCAAATACATGTTGCTTAAATGTCCAGAAGGTAGAGAAACACTTAAAGGAACATGGGGAGCTGAACAACCTGCTAGCTCTATGCTTCAGTTATCAGGCAAAATGTTTGCAGGACTATTTTCAGTGAGTTGTTTTTACTTTGTGCTTGAAAAGTTAAGTTGATCATTGAGATTGTATATTAATGAATGTTAAAAAGCATTGCTTTACTGGTTCAAGCTAACTTCCCTACGCGAGTCTAGGAAGATGTTCAAGTGCAATAACACTGTATTTATTAGTCATGAGAAGTTGGCAATTTACTGGCTGTAGCACAACAGGCCTTGTTATAGCTTATATGAAAGACTGCTCTTTCAAAGGTCACATAGGTAGTTCTAATTAATTTGTAGTTGGAGAATATGTGCTAAAAAACACTTCAAGGAAAGCTTATCACTGTAATAGTGGAAAGGCAACTGTAAAGAACCCAAGGTATTGTTAAGGAGCTAAGTGGAACTCAGTACTTGAAAAATTATTTTAGTTCAAGTTTTACTTTTTACATTTGAATACCCTACACTTTTCAAAATGGTACTTAAAACTATCCTTATCTTAAGATGAAGGTTAAAGAGGCTCATTCTTGAGATGTGTTATGAGAATAGAAAAACTAATTTATGTTCAAGGGGGGATTAGGATACATTAAATTTAGGTTCTGTATGTGCCTTTAGGTTCCTCTTATAGCTGACTGAGGTCTAGTCAATGCACTTGGTACAGAGAGTAGTTCAACTCACTCAAAAGTAGACATCTACTAGCTGCTTAGCTATGTTCTGAACTACACTGACTGCAGGGACCAGATGCTTGGTTCAGTAACAGTTGTGTAGGCTTTGCATTTACTCTCATGTTTAGTTCTTTGAGCAGTAGTGTATCTTCAAAGCATGTCTCCTGTATTAAATGTCCCATTGAAAAGATTGGCTTGCTTTGCAGGGTGGCTTTGGTATGTAGGAATTAATTTCTCTGTAGAGGAAACTAAATTGAAACTTCTGCTCCAGGTGAGCACTGTACATCTCCCTTAAGAGTTGGAGAACATTAGGCTCTGAGACACTGTTTCACGTCTTGGATGGCTTCACGTGGTGTATATGGAGATAACATTGAATCGAGGGACAAGGCTAAATGTAATTCCAAGTGAAGCCCCTGAGCAGTGCATTGCGTAGATGTAGAGTGCTCAGTAATAACTCTTCTGATGTATTGATCCCATCAATGCCAGATTATAGAATAAGCTGTGAGCACTTACTACTGTATGGGATGCCCTCAAATAGTGGACAAGAACAGGGCTAGCAAACTGATGGGAAATGGTTGCCCTTCAGGAGCAGCACTTCACATGGCTCTGTATATCTAGATGTGAGTGACAGCATTAAGCCCTACATCTAGAACATCAGTACACTGGTTTATGTCTAATAGAAGCTTTCTTTAGTTTGTGGGCTTATGAATTAAAAAAAAGTTGTTTCAGTAACTTGCTTGACTAATTTTAATAGCTAAATTGATTTCTGTGAGGATGAAAGCAAAACAGTTTTTAAAGTAAATTGTCTACAAGACCAAGTTGAAGCTATGAAATATCTTCATTGCATGTAAACATACAATCATGTGGACTGTTTGCTGAAATGTCTCAAATTTTTTTGGTGGAAATGGGAGCTGTTTAAAGCAAGGCACAAGAGCTGCTAAGTGTTGCAATTCTTCTCTGAGGATTTGGGGTTTGAGTCAAAACTGCAGGTACATGGCTTTTTCACTTGTGATTCTGGTCTTGGGCCTTCTCCTGAGTTATGAACTTAAGCACAGCTTAGAGGGACTTAAGCACAGCTTAGAGGGAAGGAAGGGGTTTTCCCTATGCTGCATATATGGATTTGGGTGGAAACTCAGTGGTTTGGACGCATTGCTAGCAGTGCTTCTTGTTGTTGCCCACCCATTTTTTTTGTTAAATAGTGTATTTCACTGTGATCCATCTACTGTAATGTTAAATCCCAGGGTTCAGTGCTACAAAGTTTGTGTCCTGATGACGGGAATCAAGAGATGGGTTTCTTGTGCTCGACCTGGTCTGACAAATTTTGCATTGCTATTTGAGTGCCCTAACCTGAGTAGGATGGCTGAGGCTGTATTCAGCAGAAGTATTTCTTCTGGGAATTTGGTATGACTTTCAAATGAGTTACGTATGTGAATTGCACAGAACTGAGGAGAAAATTGTTTCTATTCAAAGTAGGGGGCTGGTTGCATGCTACACTTCCTGAACATCTTCAAAAACTGGCTGCAGCTGCTTTCAGTGCAGGGTTTGAGTTTGTTTAGGTATACTTGGTGTGCTCAGACCTGGACTGGATTTGGTTACTTGGCACTAATTGGGCATAAATTTTTGACTTTAAACTTTAGGATAAGGTAGTATTAAGTATGTGTAGAAGCATCTAGAGGAACTACTTGGGTAGAAAATCATGTTCCAGAGTAGATGACCAATGAGTGAGTTAAGACAGCACTGTAGGACTTGAGTACTACAGATGTGAAGGCCTGTTTCAGTATCTTGTTTCCTTTTTTTGTTTCAACATGAGCTTCAGCATTTAGGATTTTCCTTCTGCCAAAGCTGATCTTTGCTTTTCAGTACAACTTCAAGCCTGCTTGACAATTAAGCCTCAGCCCTGTAAGAGCAATTGGTATGGTAGTGAGGTTGGATGTGTCAGAGTCAAAAGATAATAAATGCAAGGAAAAAGGTGAGAAGTGAGAATTCTGTGGTTAACCATACATAAAGATGCTTCCTGGTATTGATAGTGGGCAGTAATGCCCTTTGTTTTAATGAAGGTCATTTCCCAAATAAGAACACTGCCCATCTGTGTGTTATTATGAAATGATGCCAAGAAGAAAGCAGGCCACCAATTGTTGTATCATTTTTGTCACCTGCTAGACAATCTAAATACTAAGGGCGCATTCTTCCTCTTTCCTGGATGCACATGCCTACAGCTGTGGACAAAAGTGTGGTCCTAGCTTCTGAAAAGTACTTCTCTGATGTGTGTGTTAGTTCCTATTCTGGTCAATGTTCCCTACTGCTAATATAGTTGTTTTGAAACTTGTCTCAATCTTGGGTATGTATTCTAATTTAACTTTAAACTTTCTTTCTAGTTCTAAGAAATGGGATGTGGCAGAACATTATGTGGAAAGAGGTAAATAAAATTGGGGATGGGAGGGAGTGGAAGAAGGTGTTCAAGAATTACTTTTGCTGGAACAAATTTGGAGGCCCAGTATTAATTCACACTATCAGAATTCCCTGTGACTTGAGGTGTGAGGGATCCTTTCTGTTGTGATAGCAAAAATTTCCCTGAGCAAGGCACATGAGTACCCATCTTTAAATCCTAGTACTGTGTTTCTGTCAAATGCTAATGTGTTGTCAGTGTTCTTGCTTGGGCAGTTGATACACTCCAGGGTGTAAACAGTGTTTTGTTTTCAATCCACATCTAGAAGAGTAATTTTCACTGCAATGCTCTACCTCTCCTGAAAGTGGAACAGAGACTTATTTTGCTACCTGTGCTGAAAAGTTCTTAGGTTTTGAGGTTAAGTAGTAGTTTGTTTGCTCAAGTAAGGAAGACAAGCCCTGCTGCTACCTCAAGCACTTGGGGCCCATGTTCTGTAAAGCCCTGTGCCAGGACCTGGTGAGCTTTATTTCTAGAACTTCCTGAAATCCCTCAGGATGTATTGATCTAATTGTGGCTCTTAATGACTTTTAAAGGGCAAAATTAGTCCTGTTACTAATAAATGAGGAAAAAGTACACCCTTTTAAAACTTCTGGGAAATGAGGCCTACCTCAAGAGACCTAAAAGCAACCCTGCGGAAGTGTTAGGCTATAGTAGAAACTAAAGATTGCCAAGGATTCTGATGGCTCATGCTGATGCCTGTTTATGCTGTTCCACGTCCTGTTTGTAGTGAGGACACTGAACTGGAAGATATTTAAAGCTGAGCCTGGAATGTGGTTTTGTTATACCTGTAAGCACTTCTTGAATTGGTCTGTATCTGCATATTGTCTAGTCTTGCATTTATTGTTAATGAATAACAGTTCTGTACTATCCACCTAGTTTACTTTAAGGCAGACTTCTGATCTTTTTTATGCTGAAATCAGCAGGGAATTTGTTTTGAGTGGGGTCAGAGTAAGACTAATGAATCTACCTGTTCAAACATGCCATCTGTTTCAATTTATAAAAATTAATGTGTTAACAATATTTCAAGCCCATTTTGGACTCTCAGCAGTGTATTGGATGCTAAGCAGTCTGTACTCATCAGGCAAGCCTGGCTTACTCTTTTGAGAATGCTACTTTGTCCTTCTTCGAATGAAAGTCCCATGCATGTGTGACCCCTGTTAAAGGTGCTAAAAACTCTTAGGTCTTCAGTATTCCAGAAATGAGGGTTTTGCACATCTCAAGTGACTGTAGGTCAGGGAAGAACTGGTTGATACTATCTGTACAGACAATACTCCTTGCTAGTGATTAGTACAAGTAGTGCATCTAAAGAGGGCTAAAGGAAAATGATAGTGATAACTGGGTAGGCAAAGTAGTATGTGGAAAGAATAGGAGAAACACTTGATACTTGAGGAAGGTAAAGTTTAAAGATAACTTTTTTAACTAGGAAAAAAATCTTTCTGTAGGTTAAATAAGACTAAAGGAAAAAATAACTCAAATTTGGATAATGGCTGGATTATAGAAAAAAGTAATTTTTACTAACTATAAGCCACAGAAGTTCACACTTTCCAATTGAGTATATCCATTTCTTTTTTCTATAGAGAATTGTTTACTTGACATTCAGAAAAGGCAAGGCTTTGATACTTCCAAACTTGCAGTGAAAAGTACTCTGACTTTCAGAAGCACTGTCTCTGGCTGTTCTGTGCATGACAATGTTCTTTTGACTGGGTGAAAGAAAATAACAAACTAACATTCCAGACAAGCAAACTGTTTGTTTTTCTTTTCCATGCTACTGTACCCCTTTCCCTGACTCAACAGGTAGCAGTAGGAGATATTGTGAAGGTCACCAATGGGCAGCATCTTCCAGCAGACATGATAATAATATCGTCCAGGTATCCTGAATGGTTGTGGAAATGATGTGTCTGATGAACTGAGGTGCAGAGGACTCTAAACTCTGTGTTTGCTATTAATAAAAGCAGATATCAGATGGTGCTAATTCTTCTCCACATATAAATATCAACAATGTTAAAACAGTGTTCACTAGGCAGTGATTCATGTATCATTGTAGATAGGTTCTTAAGGAAGAAGGCTTCTTTAAGACTTCATAGTATTACGTACCTGTAATTCACAAAGTGTATCATTGAGTTCGTTGAAAGACTGAAGGTTTATTACACAAGCTTTATGCAGTCAGTTGCTCTGTGGCCTTTGGAGGATCCCGCCATTTAATTAAGGAAGCTTAAGTCATCTTCCAGTTAGTTCCACTGAGTTGCCAGCATATTCTCCTTCAAGAAATACTTCTTTCAAACAGTAATTTTAAAATGCTAGTCCATTTTGACATCCAATAACTGGTCTGCAAGATAGCTTTTGGGCTTAATTTGTTTACTCCTTGTCTTTGATACAGTGCATGTATGGCCTATCCCTAGCATGGTAGCAACAGTTAACAGTTGAGTCCTGCTCATTTTTCGTTGTGAAATATGGGACAGCTTCTTTTATACCGCTCTATGGGCAAACAAAGCTGGCTCGTTAGTTCCTAGAAGCATTTGAGTGATACTTGGTTGCTGATCTAGATCCTATCTTGTGTTGACCAACTTGAGGCCAAATAAAGACCACTATCCACTTAGACGAGATTTAAACAAGAGACCATAGTGCAGTTCCTGTTCTTGAACATGCTTTTTTCTAATAGTCAAACTTTATGACACCTTGCTCTTCTCCATAATTTCCTTCTATCTGCATGCTTTTCAACAGTGACTGCAGGTTGCTCTGGTCTCCAGGTTAGGGTTCTCTCAGATGACTCAACTTCGAAGGGAACTTACTTTCTAAGCTACTGCATTTTTTGTTCCATCCTTCTTATCAGTGCTGTTCCTGGGACCTTTCACTTTTTTTGAAAGCTGTATGGGGAAGTACAGTCTTTTTGAACTGTCACATGATCAAAGATAGAGGTATCTTCATTGTATACAATATTGTATTTTTTAAAAATAAATCCCAAATTTTAAATAAGCAGTTGTCAACCTTAATGTGCCATTAGTTAGGCTACACTTTGACATCAGTAACTTTCTGTTTTAGTGTTGAGTAATATTTGTTCTACCTGAGAACTTCTCTAGTGTATTATACTAAAAAAACTTCTGGTTTATTTCTTAACTTGCATGGGTCAGCTTTTTGTTCTACATTATTCTACTAACCTGCTGTCAGTGATAATTGCATAATAACTGGAGAATTTAACCTGAAGTATGTTGATTTGGGAAAAACTTTACTTGAAGTAAATAACAATTTCTATGGCAGTTCTGCTTTACAATTGGTATTACTCCCATGATTCTTTTAAGTGACAATATTAAGTGTCCTCAGTTCACCAGAAAGCTTTGCATGCTCTGAAAGGGTGGGATCTTTTGCTTTTATGTGTTAATTTTCTGTGTCTGAGCTGACTGTCAGAGGTCACACAAATAGTTTTTATCTTGTCCCCTTTTTTCTGGGGGAGGAGGAGGGGAAGAGTCGTCAAATGAATTTTGCATAGAGAATAAATTTACATGAAGGAAAAAGGTATGAATCCAAACACAGCTTTGTATGGAAAAGCTTCCACATCTCATTGGAAATTAGAGGAACTGTATTGCAAGAAGTTTCCCTCCTGAGTTAACCACTTCAGTTGTAGTTAAGGTATTTGTGGCAGAAGTAAAACTGGAATCAAGCTGGGCTTAGTCTGTGGCTTTCCAGAGTTCAGATTCAGGTTGCTCATATAAGGAGACAAAGAGTCTGCTTTGGGCATCTAAGTTTATCATGACTTGTTAAATTCTTGTTAACAGTCTGATGTAGACTTGTGTTTGTAATTTGTTGTATGAGAGTGTTCATATCTAAAGATGTCTGAAGTGTGTACTTCCAGCTGGCTCTTTCATGGTCATATACCAACAATATGGACTTTTGTCTTCTGCAGTGTATTGTGGGCCATTTTAGCACAAAAGTAGTATACAAAAAGTACTGAAGTTTAATACTGCAAATCTTATGCTCCTTACAGTGAACCACAAGCCATGTGTTATATTGAAACAGCTAATCTTGATGGGGAGACGAATCTTAAAATACGACAGGTAAAACAAACTGAATTTCACCTTTTTTCATTTAGGTATCTAATATTATCTACAAAGCAGTCTAGCTTGCGTGACAATGATACAAGTACTCTTTTTTTAATAAAAAAAGCATATCTCTTTCCAGGTGGCTGTAGCTTTTTCAACAGATGCACATGAAGCATTATTGCTTGGGTTTGTAAGTGTGAGGAACTGTAAGTCCACAAAAGCAAATCAAGCAGACCTTTACTGTGTTTTGCTGAAGGTCTTCTAAGTGTATTTACAAGCACAGCTGTTTGCTTTTTTAATGAGTGTTGCAGTTTCTACTGTCAAAAGTGCCCATCTGTTGCTTCTGCCTCTGCAGGGTACTCAAAAGGACCTCTTATATGTTTAAGTTAATTTTTTCTTTGTGGTAAGTAGTAGAATTTATCTGCATATTTTGACTTTTGGTGAAGAAATGCTGTTGATTGTGGTGTTTGGAAATAGTTCAGAATATTTGCTCTTTGTCACTATAACAAATGAATTTGGATTAGGATTTTAATACAGATAATTTTGTTCTTAAAACTATATTTGCTGCTTGTTTACTGTTGTTGTAGAAAAGTGATTTACGGTTCTGAGTCAGCCCAATAGATCAGATCTTGAGTTCCTGTCAGATCTTATTTGCTTCAGGACACAGGCAGGAAATAAAATAAGGTTGTGGGGTCTTTTAAGTCCTTGTTCTGGCTTGCAGTGCTGCAGTCAAAATCTGGCAAAAGAAACACTAAATGGATCACTCTGAACACCTCCACCTGGTTAATAGACAGATGAAAAGCAATGGAGTGTTATATTGCTCAGTGCTTTCCGAGATGGAGTAGCAGTATGTTGGGTTACACCTTGAGTAGGATCAGAGCATAATTGCTGCAGTGACCAAAGAGACTGCACTTACAAGTGACTATGTTTAGCAGCAGTAATGCATCAGTGGAGCTGTGCTTTGAGGGAACAGCCAGGCCTGTTGATACTGCTTGTCTCCTACTTCCTCCTGCACATGTGCAACTTGGTGCTTTGTGGATGGGACTTTCCTCGTGGTTAGAGAGAGATGTGGGTCATGTAACTCTTCTGTAGAGGGATTTAAACCAATCCTGTGTAAGCAGTATTATATGTGCCCATAATGAATCTTCCTTGCAGGAAAGTTGTTGAATAATCATTAAAAACAAAAAAAACCCAACTCGCCAACAAAACTGGCAGAAAACCTCCACACATTTAATTACATTTGCTATCTTGGATGTTGGAAGAAAGCACCATTTTCCTAAGTTGCCTTCTAATAATTTTTGACAAGAATCCCCTTTGGATTGGTCTCTGCAGGGATTGTCTCAAACTGCTAGTCTCCAGTCAAGAGAAGAATTGATGAAAGTATCTGGAAGGATAGAATGTGAAGGACCCAACCGTCATCTTTATGACTTCACTGGAAACTTGCGCTTAGATGGTCAAAGGTACTGACTTGACAACAAAGCCATAAATTCATTTGTTTAGGAAAAATGCTGTCTGTGTGCTTTTTTCTGCAACACTGAGCACATGCATGTTTCTGCTGGGGAAGAGGGTAATACAGATGTCAACCAGAGCATCTGCCAGTGTAAGATAACTTAGTTCTGTATTTCTATGGAGTCTTCTGCTTGTTACGGGAGAGTTGGTGTCTTTGGAATTGTGTGTTTTCTAATCAAAAGTAACATCTAAAGAGAACGAAGAGTGAGGGAAGTGGCTGGGGTTTTTAGGGCCTTCTTGTTACAGGACATATGCAGAGGAAATGGGAAACCTTTCCCTTCCAACTAGAGCCAAAGGCTGCACCAAGTGCAGATCTATAGAGAAAAATGATCCCAGAATCTTGAGTCTTTAACAAAAGTGTGGCTTTGTTGCAACCCTTGAAAGAAAAGAACTTAATTTTAGTACTTGAATTCATAAAACTTGGTTTCACCTGGCTGTACCTGTTTTCCTGGGCAAAAACTATATTCCTTGGGCATCTCAGCTGAATAGTGAGAGATGCAAGAATAGTAGAAGATCACTTGCATTTCACTTAAAAAACACATGGGTAATACAGTTTTCCCAAAATGTTTGTTTAACGGCAGATGTGAAGTTACAGTGTGCTTGGGATGGATGGGCTCTTTGCAAGTATGATGCTTCTCTCTCCTTATGTGAGAGGGAACTTACTAGCCAGGGTTAAGTGCAGAGTGGGCTTATGGCTGCCACATAAGTTCTCAAGTTTTGGATACGTAGAACAGCTACATTGTATTGCTTTTGCCCTACTGTGCCTTAGCAGGGATTAGATTTACAGAAGTTTTAGTGCTGTCTTTAATTTTGTGGACAGTGTAAGTTCATTACTTTTTTTTCCTTTTGTGGTTTGGGTGGTTTTTTGAGGGGGGGGTGTAAGGCTGAAAGGAGAATTACTTTCCTGAACTGTTAGCAAGATTTGAAAGATAAGCATAATTCTTGCTTTGCAGCCCAGTTCCTGTTGGTCCAGACCAAATCTTGCTAAGAGGTGCACAACTGAGAAACACTCAATGGGTCTTGGGTATTGTTGTGTATACAGGACATGATACAAAACTCATGCAGGTAAAGTTTTTAAGGAGCTCTAGAGCATGTTCGAATAGAAGCTGGTCATCTTTCCTGTATTCTACTTGATTTTTGGACTTGATTTTTATGAAATGGTATTTGATTCATTGTAGCTGTTTATGATTTGGAGTCCTTGAGGAATGCAAGGATACCGTTGTACTTGATGTTGCATCTGCATGTGGATAAATGCTTATTGAGGTATTTGTCTCAAAATGCTTCAATATGTAAGCAAAGCTACCTATATTTTATCTTAAATGCTGTCCAGCCACCAGATAAATTAAAACTGAGGTTTAACAGCTGAGGAGATAGTAATGACCACCTGGAATTTTAGCACTTGGAGGTAATTAGGTTAAGACCACAGTCTCTGTATTGCCTTGCTGGTCTCTCCAGGCACTTCATGCCATTAACATGTGTGTGTTCACATCTGCTGACTGTTAGTGGGATGGACAGTCAGGAGATAACCATACTAGGTCTTTAGAACTGAATGGTTCCTCTGATCTCCTGTCAGTTTTGGAGTCATTAGGAGTATTGCCTTTTATTACTACCTTGTTGAACTTGGCATCCAATGCTGAGCTAACTAGAGCTGAAGTAGCAAGTTCTGTAATGGACTCTAAAAATACAAAGACTGAGTTTGTCTCTGCAATTTCCTCTTGTATAAGCCATTGCCAGACTTTTTTTTTTTGCTGCTATTCAGAATTCAACCAAAGCACCGCTGAAGAGATCAAATGTGGAGAAAGTGACCAACATGCAGATCCTGGTTTTGTTCTGTATTCTCCTGGTGATGGCCCTTGTGAGTTCTGTAGGTGCCTTATTATGGAACAGAACACATGGCGAAGTCGTCTGGTACCTTGGCTCCAACAGTGAGTATGCATGCAGTGTGCTAGGGATGTATCAGACTGTAGGGCCTGCCAGGCTCTTAGCTTTGCTAAATGAATGCATAAGCTAAGGAATGAAGCCTGTCTTTAACTTTTTGATGGTTGGTTTTTTTCTCTGAGAATGGGCTGGCGTAAGCAAACTTGCCAGTGAGGCTTCTGTTAATAAAACCTTCTAAAGGTTAGGTTAATATCACTGAGCCACCACCCAGGGAGCAGGGCAGAAACAGAAGAGGGACAACAGTTATTCTTGGATGTTCAAGTTTTCAGCTTTCTGGAGATGCCATGCATAAATTTGTTTTCAGAGCAGGTCATGTACTGCTGCCTCACATATCATGTCTGGCTGTACCTGACTGCAGGATAGCATCTGTCAGCCTGATGATACTGACTTCGGCTTTATGCTTCTGTACGGAAGCAAAGAATTTCTCTAGAAAAGAAACAAGCTGTTTTTTTTCAGTCAGAAATGTTAATCTGCTCTTGTAGAGAAAATTGTTAAATGCTAAATGCTATGTGTTTGTACTCACTGGATAATGTCTTGGTCATTTTGGCTTCTGACTTTTATTTTGTAATGAGAACTGATGTCTTAGCATGTTTGTTAAAGGGTTTTACTTTTTCATTCATACTTCTTAAATTTGTTAGTTCGGATATCAAAGATGAGGCTTATGCAAACACTTAAGGATGAAATAAATTGCTCTTCAATAGAGTTCTGACATGAGGGGGTTATATTAGCTAGCTATAAAATATGCTGTTACAGACATCTTGAGATGCAGATCTGAAAACAATTCTCACAAACTGCAAATGGTCCTTCTGGTTATTGCAAAACAGGTGGCAAAGGATGTCTTCTGCAGTTTAAGAAAGGCAATTGTGATGGTAAAAAAAAATCATGTAGGAAGAGTACGGAAGTGGCTCATATTTGACTCTGACTTTTGGTAGCTGTAATGTCTTTTAGTAGCAGTATCAGCAATTTTAGAAGTTTTTTCCTCACCCTACCCCCCTGCTTTTTAATGAGGAAGTTTAAATTTGTGCCTTCCAATGACAGAAGTAATATTAGAAAACATGAATGGCACAAACCCTTGAACTTGTACTCATATAAAACAGGCGCAACCTGTAATAAATTAGGATGACACAGTAGTCTGTATAGATGCTTTTTTGTAAATATACAATTCCTATCACTTCTGTAACTGCCATACATGGGAAAGACACTTATTCAGGTTACGCAAGTAGATACTTAAAGGGGGCCGATAGGAAAGATGGCGACAGATGTTTTCATAGAGCCTGTAGTGATAGGACAAGGGATAATGGCTTTAAACTAAGACGGTAGACTTAGACTAGATAGAAGGAAGAAGTTTTTTGCAGTGAGGATGGTGAGGCACTGGCATGGGTTGCCCAGAGAGGTGGTAGATGCCCCATCCCTGGAAACATTCCAGGTCAGGTTGGATGGGGCTCTGAGCAACCTGCTCTAGTTGAAGATGTCCCTGCTCATTGCAGGGGGGTTGGGCAAGATGACCTTTAAAGGTCCCTTCCAACCCAAACGATTCTATGATTCTCTGTTAACTTTTTGTTAAATGTCTAATTTCTATAAAGATTGTGTTGGAAAAAGCCTTTTCCTATCAAGTGTGTTTCTACTCTTTCTGTAAACAGATCTAAGACAAAGAATTAATGTGTGCTCACACTTGGAGGTGCCTGGGGCTCAACTTCAAGTCTTGCTCTGATCTGCATTAGGCTTCAGCAACTTTCTCTGGTTTCTGTCTGCTCCTGGTTTGTTCCCCTGCCTTCTTACCAACCTATCTGTAACGCTGCAAGCCCCTTAGTTGTGGGCTGTGGCCCCACTGTCATGAGTGCTCTGCAGGCTGGCTGAAGTGCCTCCCCTAAGCCTCAAGGAAAGTGGAGAACAGACAAATGCAGAGATTTTTGGATGTAAGTAGAGGGTGTAGGTGGCACCATGAACAGGAGCTTTCATTCTTTGTCTCTGCTAAGCCTTGTCTATTCCTGCCTGCTGTCTATAAATGCTTACCCTTCTCTTCAGGACCAGTTGTGCTGGCAGATTTACTTGGGCAACTTGCCCAATGTTGTCACCATTAATAACAGCTCCTCTGCTTAAGCAGGATGCCTTAGTTCCTTCGCTAGGTGTCTGTTTAACAGTCAACTTGTTCTCTTGGAGTTCTTTTAGTGCAACTTCTCAATTCTGCCAATGCTGGAAGATTTTAGAACAAATTTTAGTCTTTGTTTTCTAACTCCCGTAAGACAAGTAGGCACTTCAGAGGAGTAAAGCTATGTTACTAGTGATATTGGTCATTCTTAATTGGGGCAGTTGACACATCATATAAATCTCTAAATCTGAATTATACCATGGAATATCATGCTTCTCACCATCTGTTTAGCAAAAACTCTTCAGAAGGTATTCTTTTCTCTAAGAATATAGCCTCACCAATCTTGCCTTCTTTCACCTGGCACATAATATGCTGTGTATCTAGGCATGTGTTCTGTGGGTGTTTTATATCGCAGAATCATTAAGGTTGGAAGGAGCCTTCGAGATCATCAAGTCCAACCGTTAGTTGTATATGTACTATCGAAATCAATATTAAAAAGGCCCTTGTACTAGGCCTTAACACACTTGCTGATTATTTTAGCACAACTAAATCTGATCAGACCAACTGCAGAAAGATGACTGCCCCTCTACTGTACCACTCAGAAGTCTGCCTTCTGTCTGATACCTTATGTCTTTTGGTCTACAGAAATGCTGTCTGTCAACTTCGGATACAATCTGCTGACATTTATAATCTTGTACAATAATCTTATTCCAATCAGTCTTCTGGTGACACTGGAAGTTGTCAAGTTTACTCAGGCTCTTTTCATAAATTGGGTAAGTAACAAGAATAAATGTACTAATGTCAGTTTTGGAAAGTGACATTCCCCCCGCCCCCCCCC